AGTACATCAACGCCAGCCCCGAGCGCGGCGGGGATGAGGTGTGCCATGCCTTCCTCCTGGTGCACACCAAGCTGCTGGCCTTCTACTCCAGGTGCGCCCGGTCCCACCGCCCTCCCCAAGGCTGCCACTCGCCCTCACAGCTGACCCTTCCCTTCTCTGGCCCGCAGCCGCAACGCCAGCTCCATCCGCTCGTCCTCATCCTCCTGGTGCAGGACCTGTACCCCAGCCAGAGCGCCGAGGAGGACCTGGACCCCCAGGTGCTCCAGAGCAGGGGTGGGGGGCAGCGGATCAGGGTGCCCCCACGGGGTGATGCCTTGATGGCCATGGCTTAATTTTTTTCCCCTTTTTTCAGAAGCCTGTGGCAGCGAAGGTGCTCCCCCAGGGACCCAAAAGAAGTGAGAGCATCCCTGTCGGTGGCCCTGGCTCCTGTGGAGCTGCGGAGAAGGACTCAGATGACCAGGTGAGTCCCTGGGATTGGGAGCTGCAGGGTGGGATGCTGGCTGGGCTGCCTGCATCGCTCTCATCTCTGACCCAGCTGTTCTCGCCTGCAGGACACTGACGACCTCTCCACGTTTGAGATCTACTACACTCCTGAGCCCTCACCAGGCAGGCACAGCACGGGTGAGTGCCTGGCTGGGCAGCAGCCCTGCCCCGTGCCCACCAGCTCCACGGAGGCTCTGGGGCTGCAGGGGGGGCTGACGGGGGGGGTAACCTGCTATGCTCCCCGCAGGCAGCGAGAGCTGGTCAGAGGGTGCTGAGATGCTGAGTACAGGAGAGGCAGATGCGGCAGATGTCCAGGTGAGCAAGAGGTCCTGCAGTCTCTCCCAGCTTCATGCCTCCCCAGCCTATCCTGATGCTCTCTGTGGTCTCTGGTCCTCGTCACTAGTCCCTTGCTGTCCTGTGGCTGTGGGCGCCCCAGCCTCTTGGGCTGGGGATGCACCCCACATCCCCTGTGTTGTGCATAACCCTGTGAGGGCTCCCACCACCCTCCTTGGGGCGTTGCTTGTGGTGTCCCTGTGCAGAGCTGTCAGCACAGAGGGGCCGGGGCTGCCTCAGAGCAGTCTGGTGTCTCCCTCTGCTGCCTCTGGGCTTTCGGGGCTGTTTCCCTGCCAGATGTCAGAGCCTCACACACGCTCTGTGACCAAGGGCTGGCCTCAGTGCAAGGTGTTTGCAACCTGTGCCTTGGCCAGCAGCTTACCCTCAATCTGCTGCTCTTCTGGGGTCTTGGGCACTTCCTTCACTGTTGTCCTTTTGCTGTGTGGCCCCTCCAGCTCCTTCGGTTCAGTCATGCCTGGCTGCAGCTTTCGGGGCATTGCTGTGTCCAGAACGTCTTGGGTTGTTGCAGGCTATCTCATCCCCACAGGGGACCAAGCATCTCCCCTCTTTCCCCAGATGGCAGAGGACTTGCTTCAGACCTTGGGGCCTCTGGTCCCTGAAGCTTCAAACCCCAGAAGGATTTTCCTGGATGCCAACCTACGGGAAGGTTACTGCCCCTTGCTGCCACACACTATGCACTGCCTCCCACTCTGGCCGGGCATCTCTCTTGTCCTCCTGACCAAGGTGAGCTGCCTCTAAGGTGAGGGAAGCGATGGTGTGCTGGGTCCTGGATGACCCACCTCTTCCCTCCCTGGCAGGGCCCCACGACCCAGGTGGCTGTCACGTTGTACCAGCTTCTGGATGGTTTCCTGGTGCTGGAGAGGAAGCTGGAAGAGGGGCCAGAGGCGGGAGCCCCACGCTCCTACCCGTTCCTGGCCGAACTGCGGCAGCGCATGGACAAGTTTGTGAAGAAGTTGAGCGGCCAGGACATCCAGGTGGGAGTGGGGACACAAGGATCCTGTCCTTCTGTCCCCACAGTCTGACACTGAGCTCTGTCTCTCCCTAGTTGCAGAACACCTGGGTGGACTTCAAGAACAAGATATTTTCCCGGAGTGAGCCTGGGAGCAACTTGGAGTGAGTAGGGGGTGGCCAGGAAAGGTCTCCAGGGCAGGTGGGGACCATTACCAGCCCAGGGGGCAGCACGGCTGTCCCTGAGGTGCTGGGGGACCAGGGGCCAAACTCTGTGCCGTCCATGTGTCCTGGCTCAGGCTGCTGCAGGCAGTGGCAGCTCTGCTCCGTGTACCGCCAGCTCTTCCTGGCCTCCACCAGCCACAGCCTGTCCCAGGGGCTGCGGGACCGTGCCCAGAAGCTGATGAGGTGAGCCTGTGTGGGCAGCCGGCATCCCTGGGAGAGCTGGGGGATTGTTCCACAGCCGGCTGTGCCAGGACTTTGGGAGTCCTGGCCTCTCATTGTGTCTCTTCTTGGCAGGGAGAAGCTGCTGGACTGGCGGGACTTTCTGCTGGTGAAGAGCAGGCGCAATATCACCATGGTGTCATACCCGTCCCTGCGGCTGGAAGCCCAGCCTGGCAAGGAAGGGTCCCCAGGGGGTAGCAGAGGTGGGAGTCAGGACCCTGTCCCCCCCAGCACTGGGCTCAAGGGGAGGAGTGTGGTGGGTGGAGGCGGTTTCTCCAAGGCTCAGGGGCTGTCCTGGAAGGGCACCAATGTTGTTGGACACCCTTAACCCACCCCACATACCTGGAGGACTTCCCTGGCCTGGTGCACTTTATCTATGTGGACCGCACGGCCGGGCAGATGATGGCACCGTCGCTCAGCGTGACGGAGAAATCCAGCTCGGAGCTGGGCAAGGGCCCCCTGGCTGCCTTCATCAAGAGGAAGGTACTGCTCGTGGGGCTGGGGATGGGATGGGGACCAGAGGAGGGGACGACGGTTGGAGGGTTTTCTGCTCAAGCTTCAGGTGCCCCTTGTCCCCCAGGTCTGGTCCCTGATCGCGTTGACCCGGCGATACCTGCAGAAGGGCTACACGACACTTGTGCTGCAGGATGGCGACTACTGCTGCTCCTACTTCCTCTGGTTTGAGAACGAGCTGGTATGTGGGGCTGAACCCCTCTCCCCCGGCACCTGCTGGGGGCATAGAGCAGGACTGTAGGCACCACCCAGCTCTGTCTCCTTGGTGGTCCCCTCCGTGCTCCTGCCTTCTGCTATCGTCTCTCCCCAGGGCTATAAGCTGGAGGTGATGGAAGTGCCGGTTCTCTCCGATGATTCTGCTCCCATTGGGATGCTAGCAGGAGACTACTACAGGTGAGCAGTCCCCAGCCCTGCGGTTTGGCAGCAGGGCCCAGGGCTGTGCTGGCAAGGGGGTGCCCATGAGTGTTGCTGTCTTGGCTGGGATGTCACTGCAGTGTGGTACCACCGGGGTTGCAACAGCCCATCTCCCCAACCTAGTGCCATGGTCCTGCCAGTGGACAGGCACTGTGTCCTCGCTAGGGACTTGCTAGGGTCGTTAGAAAGGGGGATGCCAGGCTGCACTGCACTTTCCAAGCCGTCCGTCTTCTCCTTCCCAGGAAGCTGCTCCGTTACTACAGCAAGAACCACCAGGCAGAGGTGGTGAAGTGCTATGAGCTGCTGACCGTGCATCTGGGCATCATCCCCTCTGAGCTCGTGGTCCAGCAGGCCTGCGACTTGGCCCGGCGCCTCTGGGAACCTTCCCGCATCCCCCTGCTCTGAACTGCCTCCTCGGGGCCAGGATTAAAGCGGGTGTGTGGGTGTTCCCGGCGCCTGGGCTGCTTTCTCAGTGTCTGTTTGCCATCA